TCTTGAGATATAAATTGATAATAATATATTTAACTTTCACAGTATTGACTTATTTCGTTGATCCTCGACTTTGGTATACAAACAATGAATATGGTGACACTCCCCGTCACGTTTAGACACAAACGTGACGCAGCGTATAATTATAATTCCAAAAGGTGCTCATTAAAATTTAATTCAGTAATCCAACTACTGTCTTCGGTAATATTTATGACTGCCGTTATGCAGCTCTTATAAAACCTGGCGAGAAGATTAAAGCACTTGTAATCCCATGCGGGCAGTATTAAGTATAGAACACAAAATCTAACTCTCATGGGAGACAGACAGACATCAATGTATTTTTAACAATAATTTTACAAAGTATTTGCCATCGGATTTGGAAAGAATATTTTGACTTGGAGTAGCTCCAATCATAACTAAGAGCTTCTATAATGGCAGGGACACCATCCTCTTTAACCATCCATAAGGAAGGCCTGAGCCCCTGTAGTGGGGACGTAAAAGGGCTGATGATTAAGCATTGTGTATTTAGTATAGCATTGTGAATGCAAAAATGATCAAATAAAATAATTATATACCTTTTGTAAAGAAATGCTAAATTTGCAAAGATTGCAATCGAAATATATCACTGTCGTAGAAAACTAATAAAGTCAACCGATTCCACCGTGTTGTCTCAAAGAGCTAGCCTAATATAGCCGTATAGGCTAATCGGGTGATAGTTTATTTTGCGACGTTATTGCCCTGGTGATGATAAATGCAAAAAGACATCGCGCCACGAACGACACATTTGATCCGATGGTTGATCGTTAATTACCGTACACGGCACAGGGCTGTGCAACATTGTAACAGATATTACTTTTCGTTTTAACTCATTGTTACTTTTTTTTTTAATACACTGACCCAGCCATGCGTGGCTTTGGCTCATAAAGGTCAATTATTGAGATAAAAATCTATACTGTATTTTAAGTTAGAACACATTACAAATGAATAAGTAATTCTATCAAAATCGTTTATTTTCAGAATTAATCTATGATATTAAGATACGAAAGTATTATGTATATATTGAGAGAAATCATATATATATATATATATATTGCAAATATTTCTTTTTTTAATATTACTAAGAAGCTATTTCAGTGAAATGAATGTGCCTATTACAATAATTATTATTTATTGATTTAATTTGGTTTTAAATTAAAGCTCTTAAAAATTTTACTAATGCATTATACAAACAAAATGGCTTTCGTGATACCTCAGACCAAAATCTATATGTATATGAATTTCACAGACTATAACTATTACTTTATTGCCACATACAAAACTTATATGATAATTTACTAGCTGACTCGGTGAACTCTTGTATAACCTTTATATAGGAAAAGGCGATATTTTTATTATTATCCTGTAAATTTTTACTCTGTATAAAAATCTGTAGCTTAATTGTGTAATTTTAAAAGCTTTCACAATCCGTTTCAAACGTATAGCGGTTGTGATAGTGATTTATGGAAATGTGTAGCTTTTAAAGTCACGATTGCTTTTGGAAAGAATTATGATTTTAATGATATAAGTGTAATAGCCAATTTAATTCATTTGACATTTACCGATAGCTTCAAAGATATTTGTAACTACCACTTTGTATAGTCAATTCGAATTAACGTCAAATAAACGTTATAGTTCATTCAATATCTTTAAAAAAATATCTTTCAAATGTTAAATTCAAAGTGGCTGTGAAACATTTTAAAATTAGACAATTAGGCCAATGATTTGGACGATTTTTTAATTAGCTGCAAATGCGGCCAGCCAGTCCAGCCATTATCGAATTTAACTTAGCAGCATACTCGTATTTTTCAATTTGCTTAAAATTATATAAATGTAGTTTCTAACTTTATTTGTTTGTAGGGGGTAATCTAAAAAAAATGTTATACTGATCTGATTATGAAAATAATTTCAGTTACGGGCACTACATCACATAACATATGCTATAGTTTACGCGGGAGAAGCGGCAGTAAAATAGTCAGTTATTTATATGTATAGAAGATAGTAATGAAAACTATTAGTTAATAATTTGTTTAGAATTCTAACCGTAGAGATAGTCTAAACAAGGGAACAGATCGACAAATTAAGGCGTCGTCTGTCGCATTGAACTGCAGGCAGATGATGCGGCACTAATATAATCGATTGTAGGGTTGTCACCTACAAGCCCTTTCTTGCGTTAAAAGTACTCAAAAAACTATTATTTTTTCGATCTGAAGCTGCTTTATGATGCAGAACCATTAACGCGTGCGGACAAAGTTAAGCAATTTTCGTAAGGATCCGTCATAGGATGGGTGAGTAAAAATTTATGATCTCGAACTCTCTCATACTTTAGAAGACACGCCAAGCTGTTGCATCTGCAGTGAAGAGTGCCGGTCAAAGGGCCACTTAGAACCGTGGGCATGCTTTCATGTGTGAGTTGACCTGTGCGTAGTCACCGGACCAAAACTAAATAATGTTTTCACGAAGAATAAATGAATTAACTGGGATATTAAAGCGTTAAAAATAATAAAGTATGTCTATGATTTATTGTTCTTCCTCGTTATTTGTCTGTTTTAATACGTATCATAAAGCCTCGGAGAGAGACACCACAGGCCGCACTTTGTGAGTCTTGCGCCGATGATATGGCTAAATAATATACAGCTAAGGATGCTACTATTTTTTTCGATTACAAAATATATCTATTGATATTAATTGAGACGTAGATACACTTTAGCAAATAACACGGAATTATTGGTAAAAGTATTATTATTAAGTGAAAAAATTTTTTTTTCGTTATCATAAAGAATGTTCACAATTTTATTTTAGTCATGTTGATGTCGTAATTTTTACATCAATATTCAATCGTCTTATTATTTCATGCATTTTAAATTAACTTACATACAAATACAAAAATATATTAACTATTGCATTAAAAGTAAGGTTACGTATGGTAGAGATATTTCAATAATTAGAATTTGGATTAGAGATACAAATAAAAAACAATCAAAAATGCCTACGTTTTATTATTAACAGTATCTAAATGGTACAGTTACAAAATAAATTGAACGGATTATGGAGTTTATTTCACTCTGTTTTTCGTAAGCAATATCACTCAAATAACACGCTAATTGTTATTATTTACGATAATTATTTACACTATGTTCATTCATAGATTATAATTAGTATATTTCTAATACAGCGACAAGTTATGGATACTGATCACTAAACAGAAGATAATAAATAATTTGCTAAACGACATTTAACATGGCATGTTAGAGACAAGACTTAAATTTACTGCCGACGGTCGATTTAATTGCTTCCTATTAATTAATAACTGAACTGCACCTGACAGTGCAGCACTTAAAACGTTCCACACCACGTGACGTCCCTAAATCATTCTAGATCATCCATCAGCGAATAATATACGTGTTCCATTTTCGATTGACGCAATAAACTGACACTGCGTACAGTATTAATCCTTATAAATTTATATCTAAAAATAAATTGCCAACCCTGGAGGCGATGGATGCCACAGCTGCATCGGCCAATAGCTTATTGCTTGGACGTTCCACGTTCAAATTACATCTAGCAAAGTAACTTGCGCACTTAGAATATGTGTTATTGAACTTTGTTCCTAATAGTTAGGAGTGAAAATCGTGTGTCTATGAATTGTTAAAGTGTTATTAATAGATGGTAAATGTTCGCTCGATTAAAACACAGCGATCTAGATGCAAGAGCAATGTAAGATTAGAATAGCAGTATTGCCAGTTTTATTGGCAGTTTTGAGAATACTCGGAATATCTTTGCCGATTGACAAATCGGTTTGGACCGAGTGAACGGTGAAAGGTTAATTCGACGCTTTCGAAATTAACTGTAACAAAGTTGTTAATAATAACAACATGGCGATTAATAAACCGCTTGATCATATGATTTTGAATTACAGGATCGAAGATACTTATATTAGAATAGCAATGTGTTTGCAATGCAAGGAAGCCAAAAGAAGATTAATGAACTAAAGAAGTCAATGATTATTGTGATATGATTGCTTTTAAAATAAGACGGTTTGTGTTTAATACTATTTACATAAAAAACTGTTTTAAAAAGAAAGAAAAACAAAAATTATTTGTATGCATAATTTATAGCATAATTTCGTAAAGAAGAGATTTATACATAATCTCGTCTCGTTAGTCTTTACGCAGCAGTCCACTATGTAAGGTAAATTTCTGCATTAGATTTTGAAGAATTTATACTAAGTTGACATGTTGTCGACTATACCATAAGTTTATACGTTAAGCCACGTTTGAAATTTGTTTAGGTTAAAGTTTAATGTGTACTATTAGTGAATATATGCTGTACCTATCTTTGTCAGTTTTTATAGCAATAAAATTATCACTTAATAATATATCGGGTAGGCCTATTCTATTTCGCCATAGTAATAAGCAGCTAATAATTCATCAACATAAAATTTAATTCCAAACATTTTCTCGCTTCAGAATGGTGCAAAATAGGAAATTATTTGTTGGAACTAAGTATTATTCTTGTAAGTTGATCCGTTGTGTATAGGCACAACGGTGAATATCCCAATTGACTCTCATTTACAACATCTTCGGTTTATAACCAGACCATTTAAACTTCTCGGAATAGGCCATTCGTTTGTTTAGATAGCTGCCCGTGTGTGGTATCGGTTCGAAATAAAAATGGTGGTGTCGTTTTTTTCGAGTTGAGACAGTGTGACGCCGGCATTAATTAACGCTTTAAAACAGATGTTCTTAAACTTAATTATGTTTACTGGTTACTTTGAAAATCAATAATTTTTTAGCATCAAAGTGTGATAATTATTTTTATACTTTTAAAAAGTTAAACCTACATAGTAGTAAGGATATAATGCAAAAATGTGTGTTTACACATTACATGATAAATTTATATTAATTGTGGTTAAAATAAATAAAAGCCAATACATATTTCACTAACAAAATAAAACTATTACTGACCTTTACAAATTTTGTCTTCGTCTGTGGAACTCCAGCTCGACTCTCTGGATTTCGGCACAGACAGATTCAACGGCTGATCATCACCCTTAAACCCGTATTGCACTTTTTCCAATTCACTATCACTAGTTCTAACAACCCTCTGCAATAACTGTTCCTGCAGTTTATTCTTATGTACACTTATATTTAACTTTCTATCCGGCACATCAGTCTGAACTTGTATACTCTTTTCGTTCGAATAAGGCATTCTTACATCGAAATTTCTTTTGACTTTTATTAACTGACTCACATTTCTTTTGTTTTCATCATTACCTCTCCCATTTATACCTAATATGTATTCTATAGTATGTGGCGTTGGCATTTTAGGTGGTTTACCATAGACATGTGGATGCCAAGACGGTTCAAAGGACTCCACTTTTCTAAGCTCTTCAGTATTCGTTATCTGTTCATTATTATCTCGCTCTTCTTCTAAATTATCGATGGTAACACTTGTTTCGTGAGATTCTTTAGTTTCTTCTACAATATCATCTGTTATAATTAGTTCTTCATCTTTATCTTCATCGATGTTTACTTTTTCTTCTGGACTTTTATCATAAGCGTAATCTATACTGTAATTATTGTTCTGAAATCCATTGTGGATGTCTATTAGCCTACTATCAGCTTGCTCTATCAGGTCAGGAGTGACATAATTGGAAACTACAGTTTGCATATCTTCAGTGTTACCTTTGTGTATGCTTTCCTGTTCCGAGTTCATGTGTGTGTTCATAGATCACGGAAATAGTATGGCATGTTTGTTTTTATGATTGAATTAGCGTTTAATGGCCACTCGGGATTGGGGTCGTTTGATGTCGAACTCGGCCCTTTGAAGTGACTCGTTTCAGACGTTTCCTGCAACAAACAGAAGGACGATTTGAGTCTTATTGAGTGAGTGCCGGTGCAGTCTACTAGAAATTAGCCTTTGCTCGACCGACAAAGTTAATTGACTATGTTATGCGATGGTTTGCTATTGATAGATTCTAATATAACTGAGCTCGTTTGTATGATCGAAATATATATAAGCTGTGTTCTGTTTATAGATGTGGAATTATAGAAGTGAAAAGTTATTAGGTTTGTTACATTACAATTGACACATAATGACAGTTTAACTGTATTTAAACGTTTTTTTTTAATATTTTAACTATACCTATTGCTTTACGTATTTTTCTATCGAAAAATTAGATTTTAATTTACTATATATTTTTTTTTACTTTTATACTTTATACTATAACATTATTCCATAATATAATTAAATCTGTTCTTTTGTGCATAATACTTAAAATTTTATGGCTTATTTCCAAAATGTATATTTAAATAGGTAGTACTTGGTTATACTTTTTGAGTTAATGTTTATTCACTCTTTTTACCCATCATTATTGTAAGGGAAGGAATATTATTATTTGAGATTGTCGTTTCATTACTCTCTCCCCTTCCGTGTACATCGACCTCCAAATCGTATAATCGCGTCCATCATAATCATAGCGCACCCCATAAAAGTACAGTCATGCACAAAATCCCCCGTATTCGTGCCGTATCTGCTTCGTTTGCTCTCCCCTGTCCCTCCCCGCTCTCTCTCTTCAACAACAACCGTCATCTAGAATATACTGATTGATTTTTACGGGAACTGTTCAGGGTTGACATTTCAGTATAATTGGCTTGTATGCAACAAATGAAAAAAAAAAGAAAATAAAAAATGATTTATTTCAATTACGATATCTCAGAATTGCAATTGTGTGGTCTTCCTTATAAGTATTCAGTATTACCTGTTATGGATGATACGTCTTGCCCTTAGCATAAAGTTTTACATAGTATGAAGCATCAAATATAATTAAAATGTCTACTTATATACCAATCCATATTTATTTTAATAGAAAATTTTAAAAATATGTCTTCAATCCCAGGCGCCCGCGAAAGTATGAACGAATTTTATTAGTATTATTACTAATGTAGCTTCGTAAATGCAAAGTTTATCAAAGATATCATTTACTATTTGTGTTTGCCGCGGTAAAACATATTTACACTTATTTTCTCTCTCTTTTTATAGAGGATGGGCCATGACCCTCCACGCTGGCCCAAAGCGGATTAAGCAGGACCAATAGCTTAACGTGCCTTACGGAGCACAGGGTAGTTCGAAATGACATTTTTTTTTTGTATATCATCCCGTAAACGATCCATGCGAAAGTTGTATAACAACAATGATCGCGGGCCGCGCCTATTATCTTATACGCCACGAACCACTATACTTAGTTATGCATACAAAATAAAAAAAAAAACAATGAACTAATAGCCCATATTCCTTTCGATTCCATTCATAGGGAAGACCTGTATTTCAACACACCAGTGCTGACATTCATAGACTGGTGAATGGTGATAACTAAATCATAGGGAAAATAATTGTGCACTGATATTTTTTTCAATATTATAAAAAGCTTATTACCTAGTATAAATTTCATTAAAAATAAAATGACACAGTGTTTGCACATTCTTTGTGTGATTGTAAGTTAAGCAACTTTGGCAAAGGTCGATCGTCGGATGGGTGACGCGATTGTCTTCAGCACCAATATACCGATATGTTTACTGATCAATCGTCTGTCTTTATTAGAAGGAATATTTATGCGTAAGGTCGATAGTAAATTGATTTAACATTAAATTGATTTGCCTTGTCACTTACATACGTAGAATTCTAGTAAATTAAATTAAAAAATAATAACAATATTCTTAGCAACTGAAGTCACATACCTATAAAGATTTATTATCAGTAATAAGTGAATTATCATGATAATTAATTTGTAACTATTCCAATTGATAACGTCATCGATATTAATAATCTCTTTAAATTTATTTTGAACACCCTCGTTGTGACAATCACAGATAATATAGATAAATGGGAAAACACGAGAACCAATTCAAATAAGATACTAAATAACAATAATGTATCTGATAAAATTTATAGGGATAGGTATGTATAGGTACTGTAACGTCCGTGTACATTACTATTGATAGGTTTACTCTTCGGAGGGGTTATGGTCAATGCTGGCCGTTAATATTTTAAATTATTACTTTTCCGTATTCTAATATTTCTTTGATAAGGTTGATAATCTTTCTTTATGATCAAAACCGGCATAGAGTGAGTATCATCGTACATATTTCATTGTAAGTGATTTAATGTTATACCAATTGCAAATAAAATCAAGACTGAGGAACTCTACCAGTTTTTCATTGCGCCACCCATCTCCACCATTAGAATAAGATAAAAGAGTACCAATATGATAAAGAGTTAAAGTTTCTATATTATTATTGTTTGTAAGGGATAATCTAAGGGAACACTGATACGATTATGAAAAATTCTTTCACTTACGGGAAGGATCATACGGGAGAGACATAAGGAAAACAGCTAGTAAGTAATAGGCTATTATATTAATGCTGTATATATGAATTCCCAATAGATGGAATCGAATCAAATAGAATAGGGAGATTGGGCCATGAAACGCTTTTTCTACACCCGAATGTCACTTTCTCGGGTCGAGAGTGAGATGTTGTATGAACGCTCGCCGAGAAAAGTGATATTTGAGCGAAAACGTTCTCGAGTTCGTCATGCTACACGTGCAGGATGGCGCAGTGCGGATTGGTGTACAACAGTATTACCTGCAAATGCAGCCAGGACCAACGGCATAACGTGCTTACAGCACGAAGGAGCTCGAGATAATAAAATTTTGGTAACTTTTGGTATCATATGAACGGTTACTGAACAAATTAAACGATTTATCCATATAATAAAGTCACTTCTGTGTTAGATAGGTGACTGATTACAGATGAATTATTTTATGTTCAATGCACAAATTCCTTTGCGTAGCAAAAAATTGGATTAAAAAGGTTTGTCGCTTTGGCGGTCTTCTTGAATTTGAAACTCTTATTAAATAAATTGCTCCCAAGTAGTCTTTAGGCCTAAATATTGCCTAATTTTAAATAAACAAATTAATATTAAAAAAAAACTCTTATATTGAAAAGTGCTGTGATTTCATTTAATAAACTACGACAGTGAACCGAAGATAAGAAACGACCTATGGATATTTAACATCGAGCATCGCACACTAAAATTTACATTAAAATTCAAATTCTAGTCCTGTAAAACTAGTTTTTCAGGCCTTTAAAATAACTAAGATTACAATAAGTTATAGTATAGGTATATGAGTATAATTAATTATATGAGTATGAAACAAACCCACATTAAATTTAGTTTGTTTTTAGTTTAGTTCAAAGTGCGGCATATCAAAATTTTAACCAATGAATCAATTGATAGTTCCAAAAGTACTAACTTTCTGGATTTGATTTTACTAGTTAAATATGTAGAAAATGATTTTACTATAATCATATATTTATAACTTTATTTGCTGACACTTCGAAATCAATTCCATTATAGACTTAATTAGTAATCATTAAATAAACTGAAAAGTTCAGCTGTGCTATTCCTCGAATCCTCGATTACGACGACGACCATAGCGGTGTGATAGCCTAGAAGTGGAAGAGGTAAAATAAATTTATTAAAATTTATTTATTTTGAAAAAAAGAGTTCGACAATAATTTTTTCTGTTTCCATACCTCATAACTTTTTACTGGGTGGACTGATTTTGATGATTCTTTTTTATTTGAAAGCTTGTGCTTGCCGTGTGGTCCCATTTCAGTGGTCCAGATCTGGCAATGGCATTCATAAGAAAACCATATGAGTCTTTAATTTGCATTAAGTATGCGTGATGTTTGTTATCGTCAATTTTTAGCAAAAGATTTATCAGACTTAAGAGATGATTTTAGGTATATTAACAGAGTAAAAAAAGTACTTTTAGTGTTAATTATAACATAAAATATCAATATCACTAAAAAGCCTGAAATGAAAAACTTATTAAAAAAATAGTACAGACTTCAAACTTCAACTTTTTTAAAGTTTGAAGTCGGTCTATTTTTTAAGTTTTTTATTTTATTTTAATGTAAGTTTCATTTCATTCAATTTCTATGTATTAACAACGCCCAATGTCGAATTCAAAAGTGTTTTATAACAGAAAAGCATTGCAGAAACGTCTTAATATTGCAATCTCTCTGATTGTATTTATTAAATGAGCAGGACCTGAAAAAATAAAAGAAACAATAATATCGATAAAATAATAATTAATTAATAAATGATATCATAAAATGTCACGTTACAAATATATAATATGCTGAATAATAAATACGTCTAATAATATTTATAAAGTGTAACCGAAACAAAGTTTACATATTATAAATCATATTACAGTGCAAATGTTTATTTGTAGAACAGTATTGACGTCAATCGAATGACAATCCGTAAGCATTTTCGTTAGAAATTGTCGCCAATTGCTTATTGTCACATTATAACTGATGAATGTTAATTGATATTATAGATATTTAATAGATTATAATCAATTAGTTGTAAATCCCTTTGCCTCAAGTTTTTTGGGTTATTAAAAAGATTAAATTGGAACCTTTGTTTCTTGCACTTCTTTTTTAGTTTGTGGTTAAGTTTATACTTAAGTTATAGTTAATTTTTAAAGCTAAGTTGACGTAACTTCTTCTTGATGAGACTTTTTTTAAGAGATTTGTCAAACTTCATATGAAGGTTCAAATAAGTATTTAAATAAATCAGATTAAGATCTTTATCACGTAAATTTTAACTAAATAAGGAACACAAGAAAAATTAAAATAAATTAGGTTTTTATACACGAACAAAATAATAATAATTATATAATAGCTTATTTGACTACAAAATTGAAGTGATAGTGGTTTTAATAAGAGGTTATGTGACAATAAAATTTACATTCACGAAAGTTATAGGTTTGGATGTTTGTTACTTCTTTACGCAAAAAATACAAAACGGGTTGTCATGAAAAGTAA